TGTGTGTGTGTGTGTGTGTGTGTTGGGTTGTGGAACCTACATCTCGACGTTATCGTATTTCTAAATATTTGAAAAAGTAAAAACTCTCTGCTCATGAGCGTGTGTCGTTGGACGACAGGAAGGAGGAGAGACGTCTCTTCCAGTTCAGACAACTCAGATAACTGGTTTGTTGAACGTGTGCGTTTGAGTTGTGCGGAGCCGCGTCTTAGCTCCGCCTCCCAGCGACGCGTTCTCAAAGTATTCTGTAATTTCCAGAGAATCCGCAGAAACAGATGTGAACAAACACAAAGTGCCCCGATTAAAAAAAACCCAACTGTGACGATTTAATCCCGTTCTTCTGTTCAACACGTTTGACTGTGTCAGTCAGAGCTGCAGCGAGAGGCCCCTCTGCCGCTGCACGAGAAAATCCTGCAGTCGACACATCGTCTGCGACGGAGATGAAGATGCTAACCGCTCAGTTATCGTCAGTTATCGTCAGTTATCGTCAGTTATCGTCAGTTATCGTCTCTGTGAGACCGATCGGTGGTTTGTGGACGAGTCAGACGAGGCTCAGGATTATAATCTGAGCAAAGACAAAAAAAACACAGTGTTTAGTTTAGTTTAATCCCGAACATTTTATCCTCTGGCTCGTAATGGATCTGTGTGTGTGTGTGTGTGTGTGTGTGTGTGTGTGTGTGTGTGTGTTCATTAGATGACAGAGATCATGTTTGTTTGACGGTGGATTAAATGAGGTCAAGCGGTTCATCCTTCGCCCTTTGCTGCTTTCCGTTTATAGCCTTTTGTTTTGAGAAGCAGAAAATGCAAACGAGAAAAGACGGGAACGAACTAACCGGTGATCACAGCGCCCCCTGCTGCCACCTCTGTGAAATCTCTCTCGCTGTCAATCATCCTGTAGTTTATCTTAAATATGAAATCACCTGCTCACCAACATCTGACTCTGCACCTCGATGACGTCTGTAAAAAAAACACACAGAAACTTTAGTTACGTCACACAGAAGAGTGTGTGTGTGTGTGTGTGTGTGTGTGTGTGTGTGTGTGTGTGTGTTTGTGTGAGGTCTGTTTACACGGAGGTATATACTGCTGCACCGCAGAGCTGTCAGTGTGTTTATAACACACACACACACACACACACACCCTCATGCTCAGTTGTGTTAATGGTTTTTCAGCTGCACTACAGTTTCTTGTGCAACGTACAGTCGGTTCCAATCGAGTGAAGAAAGAATTCAAGTGAAGCAGAGTTGGTTGAGGCCGAGTGTCGGAGTCGCTCGGCTCTGACCCGGAGTCGCTCGGCTCTGATCCGGAGTCGCTCGGCTCTGATCTGGCAAAAAGTGGAATGTGATCAGACACAGAACGCCCTCATTCACTGCATTCTTAAAAAAACCTTCATCCCAGACTGTGAAGAAGATTCATCTTCAGAATGAAACGGAGTAAAATTGTCCAACAAAATAAATAAATAAATAAGTGAACAGATGCCAGATTCCCAGAGGGCCGAGGCGTGTTTATCCAGCGGTGGCGTGAAGCCCGAGACGCCGAACCCTCGAGTGACGCAGGAGGTTTGTTCACGCTGGAGATAATATTCATAATATTTATTTCCTCACAGGTTGACGGAAAGTTTCCTAACTGTCAGTTTCACTGGGAGATTCAGAGAGCGGAGAGGGAGTGTCGGACGCAACTGCAGCTGCAGCACACGGCCTCCAGCACAGGTACACACACACACACACACACACACACACACACACACACACACACACACACACGTGTTTCTATAGACAGGCGTGAGAAAGAACAAGCTGCAAAAACACACAAACGCTTTTTAATTATCACTGTGACGAAACGTTAAAATACACATGACCTTCTAGAAAACACAAAACTGCTCAGTGTTGCATGTTCTGTATCTGTGTGTGTGTGTGTGTGTCTGTGTGTGTGTGTGTGTGTGTGTGTGTGTGTTTGTTTTTGTCATCAATCTTTCCTCAGTTTAAACGTGAACCAGACAAACTCATCTGCACTCGGATCGTCTGACATTTGATAAACAATTTATTCAGTTTATGAAAACTCGGATGAATCAGTAATAAAATATTCTTAAACATCTAATTAGAAAATCGATTAAAGCACGTTCCTCTGAAAGGTCAAAGGTCACAGAGCAAAATATCATCTGAAGCTTCGTTCTCATGTCGTTAGATTGTAGTTGAGCCGTTTGATTCCTGAACATTCTCTTACTTTCTGTCTTTGTTCGAGACGGAGAAAAGTTCAGTTGATACGAGAGAAGGTTTATTTAAGGAGTTCGTTTCCTCGTGACTGTAAAAGTAAAAACACTTTTATGTTGCGTTGATTTATTGTCGCTGCTTCAGCAGCAAAACACAGGATCAGTCAAACAGGAAGTTCAGGGCCGTCTAATATGTAGTGTGTGTGTGTGTGTGTGTGTGTGTGTGTGTGTGTGTCTGTGTGTGTGTGTGTGCGTGTGTGTGTGTGTGTGTGTGTGTGTTCAGGATGTCACGGTCAGTGGTACAAAGTCACTTGTTGGCAGAGCGCGGCGTTCGGCGAGGTGATGACCCTCCCCTGCCCCTCCGCCCTCATTCACGTCTTTGGAAAAAATGGTGAGTTTCAACACACACACACACACACACACACACACACACACACACACACACACACACACACACACACACTGACTCTGTGTTCATTTTGTTAGTGATCAAACATTTTCTTTCACATAAAATATAAATAAACTGAAGTGATGGAGGAATAGAAAAGTTTAATAAACGTTTCTTCTAATGTCTTGATCTCAGGATCAAAGCCACCGACGATGATTCCTGAAACTCTGATTTGTTTCATCTAAGTTTTTGTAAAGACGTCATTTCCTGCTGCGCCTTCGGCCCCGAGCAGCCGAGTCTGACTCGTCCGTCGTGTCCGAACCTTCGACCTCCGGCAGCCGCTATCGATTTCACACACTCTCGTCTTTCACTGGACTCGTTCTGCGTCGTCCATCATGTCCATCCCCTCGTGTCCGTCTCTCTTTGAACTTCTGTCCTCGGTGCACGTTACTGTCCGGTCGCTCTTTCATCCCTCCGCCGCTTCCCTCCTTCTCATTTCCCTCCTGCTTCCCTTTCCTCTCCCATCAGCCCCTGCTCCTGACTCTGTTGTATTAACCCTCCTCACCCTCCTCACCCTCGTCCCCCCTCAGCCTGACTTTCTCTCTGATTCTTCACTTCTGATTTCATCGCTCTACCACATGAGTAAAATACATTCTTATATATTTCATGAATATTAACGGGTACCCAGATGAGTTTGTGTATTTTCAATCATTTCGATCAAACAACTTTCTCTTCCTCTCCTCACCTTCCCTCCATCTCTCCGATCCATCTCTCTCCTCCATCACCCTCCTCTCCGTCTCTTCCTGTCCATGAATCTCATTAATCACCGGGCGGCCCACATGGCGCCGGACTCTCTCTCTCTTCTCGCTTCCCTCGGCAGCGTCTGTCGGCGGCGTCTGCTGCCGCCTCCTCCTCGCGGCCGCGGAGTCGGCGAGCAGCAGGTTAACCGATGAGGCGTGTAATCGGAACAACGCGGCGGAACCGACACGAGGCTGTGAAATATTCTCAGTGTGTCCGTCAGCAAGGAACCTGACGTGGCTGCAGGTTCATCAGTTTAGGGGTCAAAGGTCAAGGTCACTGTGACCTCACAAAAGTCTTTCTCGCCTCCAGAAAACATTTCAAATTCGGTACAAATCTACACTGACAAAGAAAAAACGTATTAACACATATTTTATCGCCGGCCCGTCCCGAGCAGATCCGTCCTCTGCTGCTTGATTTGTGATTTATTGTCTGTGAACTAGAGAATAAACGTCTGTGCTCTTAAATCAACGTCTCTGTGTGCGACTGTCAGGAAACCTCAGCAGGAACTGCACAGAGCGAGGCTGGTCGGACGTCTACCCCGTCATCTTCACCGCCTGCGGCTCCAACAGCACGGACGATCCCAGTGAGGTGAGTCAGGTTCTGGTTTCCTGCACATTAAGCCGTGTGCGCTCACTGGTGCGGAGCGTGTGCACCATCTCGCAGTGCGGTCGATAGCAGAAGAGGAAGCTGCACGGAAGTGTTGCAGCATGCAGCGGCTTGAATTACTGCAAAATGATCTGAGACACTTTTCATTCTCGTGGGTTAAAACCAACAGATGAGAAATGTTTCCACCACAGACCGAGGTCAAACTGATGAAATGTTTCCACAGGTTCTGTGATCGTCAGTGTTTTTTTCCTTTAGGTTGAAACTGACTTTTTGACCCCAGCGTAAAAGTGACTCAGTCTGAATCGGTTTAATTTATTCTGTCTTTAAAAATACTCAACGAGAACTACAATGCTTCCTCCAGCTCAGAGCAAGAGAAGCTTAGAAAAATCCAGAGTTAATAACAAAACTATAAATCTATAAATCCTATCAAAATGCAGCTTCTCCATCTATTTATACGACCGAACCATCAACCTGATCTGAGAGTTTATTACTTTTGTTCTGATCAGAATTAATTCGGTCAAACAGTAAATGTTGAGTTTCATGCATCTGAAGCTTCTTCACTAGAATCTGGAGTTTGTTGTTTTGCTGCAGCTCGTTGTTTAACAGCAGCATCTTCACTCCGTCCTTTTTTCTGTTTCCACTTTCTGATGGGAAGAAAAAGAAAAGTGGTTCAGCTCAGAGACGTGCGTCGAGACGAGGGCTTAAACCTGCTGCTCCTCTGGCAGAGCTGCAGACCTCGGCCTTTAATCCGCCCTCGTCTGTTCCCATAGCTGCTCATGTTGAAGGTGAACCGGACGTTTTGGTTCTGTCTCCGCAGCAGTGACGCAGCGGAGGATCTGACCCTGGAGCAGTGAACCACTGTCACACACACACACACACACACACACACACACACACACACTGATGTTAACGTGTGTGTAGGCATGTGTGTGTGTTCGAACCCTCCTGTCGCCCTCAGGCGTCCTGTGTGATGCCACAGGGATTTTTCTTTGACCTTCCGCTCGTGGTCGCGGCTGCATTCCAGGACCCTGAGGTTCATACAGAGTAACATCCAGGTTTTAAGAGAATATCCGGAGCCGTTATTGTGTCCACGCTGTCCCACAAAGCTTTTATTATCTTCATACACTTCAGTAAAGTGCTTTTATTCTGTAAACTAGAAGGAAGTGACTCATAAAAAGTGTAAAAGTTAGAGCTGCCGCAAAGTTGATCCTTTCTGGTGAAAGGGTCAGAAGAATCTCAAATGTTGGAGAAACACTGACAAACAAGAGAATGCTGCATTCGTTGGGGTCGTCTCCTGTTCAGCTCAACATCTGGGACTTTCAGCGAGCGTCTCAAACACATCTGTATATTTCTCTTTAACATCTGTCACCTCTCTGTATTTCTCAGTTTACTGCGAGTCTCTTTCTCGTCTCTGCTGTTTTTCTTTTCTCTCCGTGTGTCAACGTGCTCACAAATGACTCCAGCTTGTGGTTGACGAGTTGCCGACGTTGTCACTTATAAACCGATTAACAAATAATTGACATTTATAATTTATATTTATGTGTAATCATTTCACAATTGGCTCGAAATAGAAGCTTAAAATGTTAAACTTTTATCTCTTACACCCGAACACCACTTTTTATCAAATACAGACATTTTTACAATTTATATTTGACTGTACGCTCTTTATTATTATGCAAATATTCACCCCTGTCCCTTTACACACACACACACACACACACACACACACACACACACACACACACACACAGCTGCCTGCTGATGCTCTGCAGATCCGTCAGCTGTGAGATTCTCGCTGCTTCTGTTTGTTTCCTGTTGAAGAGACGGGAGAGAGGTTTTCCGTCTGGAAAACATTCGGCCGAGACCAGACGTCACCGCTGGCACTCACACATCACAGACGAGGAAGAGGACACTTCTTCCTCGTCTGTGATGTGTGAGTGCCAGCGGTGACGTCTGGTCATCTCCATCGTTTCTAATCCCTCCCACTACGAGACGCAGACTCACTCCGGACCTGATCAATATCTCGTTGAGCTCAGTTACCGTTTGTGTTCGTCTGTTGCTGTGTCCCACGTCCCAGAACCTAACGAGCGTCAAAGAGAAAGAAGGATTCTCTGGAAATGTTCTGCAGGACATGAACAAAACTCCTGATAGAGGTGATTTCATTTCATTGGTGGTAAAAGAGGTGAATTCTGAGGTGAAGTCGTTTTCTGGTTCGTATCAGATATTTCAGATATTTCAGAAAGCGATGGAAGTTGTTATATAGATTATATTGAGATTCATATTTTCCTGTCATGTCTTGAGTCGAAGCTGCAGAGCTCCCAGCAGCAGCAGACACAGACGTCCCTCCACGTTTAGATCATGGCTGCAGGAAGTCCGTCGGCCTAAAGTTCAACATCGCTTCAATTCCCCCGGTGTCGGCGAGACAGACAGAAAGGGCGAGTGAGCGAGCGAGCCAGGGTTTATGGTCCAAGGTGTGTTTGGCTTGGCGGGTCATCGGCTCCCAGGCAAGAGGCCTGAGAATCAGACGGAGGAATGAGATGCTGATGCCAGGCTGTGACGCTCTGCGTACGCTCACATATTTGTCCATATGTGTACAGGGGGGGGGGGGCGACTCCCTGACAACCTCGAGCATCTTCTTAGCAACAGGAAAACAACTTTCTGTCAAGTTCAAACAGTTGAGCTTCTTTCACGTGAAACATTTCAAATAAGAACGGAATGATGTCATTCAGGAGAGCGTATAT